ATCACCACGATCCGAACACTTCACCGGATCATTCAATCGGTAGGAGCGACGGGCGGTGTGTACAAAGGGCAGGGACGTAGTCAACGCGAGCTGATGACTCACGCTTACTAGGAATTCCTCGTTGAAGACCAACAATTGCAATGATCTATCCCCATCACGATGAAATTTCAAAGATTACCGGAACCTATCGGCCAAGGCTATACGCTCATTGAATACATCAGTGTAGCGCGCGTGCGGCCCAGAACATCTAAGGGCATCACAGACCTGTTATTGCCTCAAACTTCCGCGGCCTAAGAGGCCGTAGTCCCTCTAAGAAGCTGGCCACGAAGGGATGCCTTCGCATAGCTAGTTTGGAGGTCTCATTCGTTAACGGAATTAAACCAGACAAATAGCTCCACCAACTAAGAACGGCCATGCACCACCACCCATAGAATGGAGGCCGGCGTTTCTCTCTCTACCCGCGGGATGAACAGTACCGCGAGGTAGTTTCTTCCGATTCCTCCATCAATTTGAGCCGGTTGCTTCATATTTTTGGAACTCTGGGTTTGCCAACAGCGTGGGAATCCATATCAGAGCTTTTTACGCTGATTTTTGAGATGCTTTATGATGAATCCAAAGTCAACGTCGTGGTTCTACTGTTCATTTACGAGATTCAATCGAAGATTTCATTTGGCTCAAGCAGAATTGAAGGCCTTTCTTCTTGAATTCTGCGATTTGAGGAATTTTGGGAAACATGTTACTGTACACAGCGAGAATGAGATTTTGCCATATGCTTGAACCACGTATTGTTTCTGCCAAACTTTTTGTGGATGTTTGTCGGTTCTTGAAGGTGCTGCTATTGAAATGTCAATTGAACAAACTCTTTAGTTTTGCTTGTACGGTTGTTGGAGTTTGTGGACCTGCACAATTGACTTTAGACTGTTTATGTCAAGCTTGAGTTCCTTGAGTACGTATACCTGTGATTGTGATCCAAAATGGTGACCACTTGGGATGGCATGCTACCACTTGAACTTTGCTTTTTTGCTTTGATGTTTGAGGGCTGAACGTGGGTGCTGACCCTGGGTAATTTGATGCTGGTATGGGTTTCACAACCTGGGTTTTTGCTGCTTTTTACTCACTCCATTGCTTGGGCTGCTTATTTAATTACATGGTGGTATTTTGGCACTGTTTTGGGGCTGTTATAACCAATTTGAGATGCTGGATTTTGAGGGACTGTGGGAAATGCTGGGCTGCTGATTTGAGGGGACTGAGGGTGCATTTGTGCAGTAGCCGCTGAGTATAACCTTAGCCTGGTTACCTCATGGACATTATTTTTGATAGTCAACCCTGATGGAGCTGTTTTGGGGTGACTGCCCATGGGGTTTTTTGGGCTGGAATATGGATGGTACCTGTTGGTTTTGGGAATGGCAGACCTGCGCAAGGACCTGAGCTTCTCACTGTCTTAGTCACTGCCAGGGCTGCTTTTGGAGCTGATTTGGGATTATTTTGGATGGTTTGGGGATGATGCTGGACCTGAATATGCTAGACACTGTCTGGTCTTTAACCTGTGATTGTTTTGGGTGTTCCTTGATGGTTGTCACTCGGATTTGGGGCTGGAATTGGAGCTGAATCTCTTGGGCATGATGGTCTAATTGGTTAGCTTCTGTATTTTTTTCCTGCTGCCCCTGGGTTTGCCTCATTTATTGAGGTAATACCAACTGTTTTGGATTGGTTTTTCACGCGGTTTTGCCTCATGATGGAGGTAATACCATTTCGATTTGGGTTGAGTTTTATGTTGTATTTGCCTCAATGGTCCTGCTGGCAGGCTGCCTAAGCTCTTTCTCACCCTTTCGGTTGGGGCTTTTGGAGGAGCCTGGGTTATCTCGACCAACAAGTGCATCTTGTGGCTGAATTGGCTTTTTCTCGGGTTTTGTTTTCGCTGGGAGTTAGTTTTCGCTGGATCCTGCCTATCTACGTCTTGCTTCTGAACTCAAACCGAGGGCAATTGTGGATGAAGGCTTACGGGACAACCTAGTGAACTTGCACCTAGTCTTTATGGGGACGCTTGCCAAATACCTTGGGGGAACTCTGACCATAGACTAGGGAGGGGTTTGTATGGCAGAGTGTGTGTCTCTCGGGTCACTTTGGAGGTTAAGCTGTCTGCCTTGACGAGGGTGGACAACTTCTGGCACTCGGGGATTGGCCCCTTAGCATGCCGGTGGAAAGCATCAACCTCGTTGATGGATGATGGTGACTATGGTAAGATTAACATTTCATTTGCCTCTTTTGGATGCATGACATTGAATGAAGAACTTTGAAGCTAGTTTTAAATCTTGATTGAGCGTACTGGATCCTTGGGGAGGGAGTATATATGGGTGGTCTGTGCTGATACCCCCAATATATGCTCCCTCCATGCTCTTGCTTTGCCTACCGTACTATTGCCGGGATGATGCATGGTACTCGTAGCTGGAAGCGGATTCCACAAGAGCGGGGACGTGGTCCACTATGATGAAGTGGGACCCCATTGATGTTTTAGTGATGGTTATGTATTTTGTATGGCCTGCGTGCCAAGTTTATGTATGCTGATTGTTGTATTATCTTTGGCTTTTGTTGTTGATGTTTGTTGTCTTATTTATTTATGCATGGAACCATTCTTATGGTTCGGTATTTGACATTGATATACCGTTCTGAGTTGGGTAATAATAATAATGAATCAGACGTCTTTCTCTCTCTAGGCTGGGCGAGTCGCGACACTGTTCATCCCTGGGATTGACTTCCGATTCCATCTCGAATTTTTGATGTTTTTGATATGATTCTTGGAGCTCCTGGATCGTTTTGAGCTAAGGAATCCATTTCTGTGCTCAATTTCTTGATTTCGTTGCTGGATTGGGGCAGAATCAGAGGTCAACTCCTCCGTGTCACTGTTCATCTGCGACATTGAAGAGCTCAATTGACCTTGGCTCAAGCTCTTTTGATGCCAATTTTGTGGGGAATTATGAGCGACATGGGGTGCTCTTTCAAGGCCAGAGGTTGGGTTTCCACTCCAATTGATGAACCCTTCGATTTTGAGCAAAACTGGGTTTGCAATTCACTGTTCACAGCGGAGATTTCCTGCCCAGGTTTAACCATCGTCCAAGCTTGTTCTTGCCCCCATTTTTGGGTATTGTGGTCGTCTTCCAGGGGCCTTTTAACTGGTTGTGTTGGATTGTTGATTCATCTAACTCGTTTTGGCCTCCTTGAATTTGCTCTTCGTGGCACTATTCATGTTCGTGGTTTCCCTGTATTGTATGTTGAGGATGGTTTGGGTTTTTAGCTCGTGCTTTTCTTTCTCTGCAGTATAAGGGTAACTTGAAGGTGAATTTGTTTGCTTGCAATTGTGGTGTTTGTATCTTTTGGCAGTGGCATTACCCGTGTTTTCCCCATTCTCCTTGCTGTTGTAGTGAATGCTGCCCAGGTTTGGTGTTTGTGTTCCAACACAGGTTTTACGAGGTGATGGGGTATTATGGGCTATGTCTTGTACTATGTATCATGTTCAATGTGTATGGGAAGGGCTTCCTTTATGGTATCTCATGCAACCTTCCTTGAAACACCATCTTTATTGGGAAGCCATTGTTGAGTCTTTGAACTCCAATGTTTTAATACCCTATAGGGCGACATCCTGGTGTTAGCTTCAACCAATCTGTTTGATGTTTGTTGAAGGTAAGTTCAGATCTCCTGGGGGTAAACCTAACCTGTTTGTTGATATGGACTTGTACACTGCCCAGACCCCTGGGTATTTGCGCCTGTTCTGCCCTTTGGACTTCACTCAACCCTGTTGTGGAAAGACCAAAGGGCTGTTGATCATTGGGCTATTATCCAGGGACTCAATACTGCGTTTTGGAGGGGAAGAACTGCTGATGGTCCTGCTGCATTCTTGGACAGAGATAAGAACAGGGAATAGCTTCAACACCATGACATGGGAAGTGTATGATGGTACCTCCCAGGTGTTTGGATAACTTGAACCTTAGTAAGTTGCTGTTTTGGATTACTGGCAGAGGTTTCTTCACAGATTTACTGTCCCCTTCACGCCGCTGCCCAATACCTTACTCCTGGCTTTCTTAAACTAACTTGGCATTCTTGTGCTGGAGTTGCTGTTTCTGTGTTTGTGCAAGGTTGGAAGCTGCTGTTTGGTGGGCCAAACGAGAAGGGGTGCTACCTTTCTCCTCGTGGGCTGACTTTGCTGCTTTTAGTGTTGCTTGAACTTTGGAGACATGGATAAAGGAACTGGGCAGGGGCAGATTCTTGTGGCACAAATGTGGATGCGGCTTGTGGACTTCCCCACCCGGGTTACCTTGTGACGTTTTGAGGAGGAGGAGGACATTTGAATGGCTGTTCCCACCGTCACACCTTTGACCTTGGCTTTCTTTTTGGGCCAAGTATTTTGCAAGAGCTTTGTGATCTCATACCCGGTCTGATGTGGGATACTAGTACCATACGTCACGCCGTCCCTGTACAGCCGAGGCTTCCTCTGGCGTTTGGCAATGGTGGCTCCTTGGATTATGGGTACGATATTTCATAATTGGGGGTGAACTTGAAGATCCTAGCTTTGCTAAGGGATATGTTGATGCAGTGGCACGCATTAACGCTCGTGACCCTTCGGTTTTGGTGTCTTGATGATTTGCAAAGCTCTCTTGACCACGGACACTGGATTGTTCCAATGATGAAGGATTCCATACCTTCGGAGGATAATTTGAGGAATGACACGTGTTGATGAGGACAGGCCTTGGTAAAGGATTCCATGTGCTCGTTACTCTTGTTTTTGAATATCTAGGCGTGTGTGCCTTTGTCTTTGTTGATTTTTAGGGGTATGCCCTGATGCTTTGTATGTTTACTTTGTGGATGTACATTGTATTTACTCCTGGATATTAATAATTTACATTTTATCCTTGAAAGAGCTCTCAATCTGTCAATCCTTACTATGTCTGGACCTGGTAAGTTTCCCCGTGTTGAGTCAAATTAAGCCGCAGGCTCCACTCCTGGTGGTGCCCTTCCGTCAATTCCTTTAAGTTTCAGCCTTGCGACCATACTCCCCCCAGAACCCAAAGACTTTGATTTCTCATAAGGTGCCGGTAGAGTCCTAAAAGCAACATCCACCGATCCCTAGTCGGCATCGTTTATGGTTGAGACTAGGAC